TGAATATATATTCACGATTACCGAAAAAGTAACCAAGGTAACTGAAGCTTTCAGGCGGTTAAAATCATATCTCCCACAGTCAGTCCTCGTCATCATTTATAAGTCGGTGATCCAATCACATTTTGATTATTCCAGTAGTGTATGGGGCAATTTAAGGAAGGTCTTGAGATGCAAGCTTCAAAAATTACAAAACAGAGCTGCACGGATTATTTCGGTGTCCGATTACAATGTTCGTTCAGTTCAGATTTTGGACTCCCTAAACTGGGGTAGTTCCTCGGGTAGAGGAGAAGTGATCACGTGATCGGCTAGTTGTGTTGTTTGTGGCGTCAGATATAACCAAATCCCTATCTCTAAGCCTAATCCTTACCCTAACCCTCACCCTAACCCTCACCCTTACCCTAACCCTTACCCTAACCTCAAAACTAATCGCTATAACTAACTGATGACGTATCTGTGATGCAAATTCTTCTACCCGAGGATGTACCCAGAAGTTCGCCGTCTAAACCGGGCCTAATATGCATTTTCACTTTTCATTGACATTTTATTGAAAATATCACGCATCTGATGAGTCAAAGCTGTTATATCGTGGCTGTTTGGCATCATTTGAAAACAGCAAATTTTGCATAAAATTAAGCAAATTTTGCATAAAATTAAGCAAAATACAATCGCGAAAAATATCGATATATCAGTATTATCGGTATTTTTTTCCGGTATCGGTTTTCGTTTTTTTTCAAATACCGCAACAGCCTACCCCCAATTTTTATTTCATAAAATTATTTGTTTTAGTATACTCAATTATTTTGACAATTTATTAAAATACCGATCTAAATGGTTTCCATTTTTTTGAAAACCGTACAGTCTACTTTTACGCAAACGTGAATTACAATTGCAACTTCCATGCTTAATTTTATCTGTTATCTGGGTGGTATACTCATAGGCGTACGGGACGGGGGGCAGGGGTGGGGGGCAGCTGCCCCCCCCAAAGATTACAAAGTCGAGAAGTCGGGCAAATGTTCAACATAAGTCGGGCGAAAAGTGGGAAATTAAAAAGCCAAAAAAGTAGTCAAAGCAAATCTCTCTTAATAATAACTTTAGTTAATAAGTATAAAATATTTAATATTGAAAAACTATAAAAACTTCCACTGTTGCATGTGCTTGAAAAAATCAATTCGAAACCCGTGGTTGATGTAATATAATCATGGGCGCACCGGGCGGGGGGGGGGGGCGGCCTGTTTGTTGGGCAAACAAGGCCAGTTGGGCAATTTTGTGAAAAATTCTGTAAATTTTGTGCTGTTTGGAAAATTTGTTTGATGTTCTGAAAAATTTTGGTATGTCCGAAAAATTTTTGGACCCCTAAAATGGTACACTGACCGAAATTTTTTTGGCGACGGGGGGGGGAGGGGGTTGTGGGGGAGGTCGCCAAAATTAATTGTTCCGGAAAAAAATTTTCGGCATTAGTCGGGCACAATCCGAAAAAGTCGGGCAAATTTCTTTCCGCTCCCCTAATTTTTTCCTTCCGTACCGCCCATGGGTATACTAGCTCGTCAAAACTTTAGGTATTTAAACGGATAATTGCATTGAAAAGCCCTGGAAAAACAGCACATTATAGTAGCATAAAATTGGATTACTACATGCACAGATACCAGAGAAAATTAAGCATGAATGTTGCCATTGTAATTCGCGTTTGCGTAAAGTAGGCCGTACTGAAATTGTCATATCTCAACGGGCATTTTAGGTATATTTAAACCGATAACAGCATTGAAAAGCCCTGGAAAAACAGCACATTATACTAGCATAAAATAGGATTACTACATGCACAGATAACAGAGAAAATTAAGCGTAAATGTCGCCATTGTAATTCGCGTTTGCGTAAAAGTAGGCCGTACTGAAATTGTCATATCTCAACGGGAATGTTACTTTTAGGACCGATAACTGCATTAAAATGCCCTTGAAAAACAGCACATTATAGTGGCATAAAATTAAATTACTACACACCGGATAACAAAGAAAAATAAGCATGAATGTTGCAAAGGTTGGGATTTTAGTCTACATGAAAAATACAAATATACCACTCTATATGCCTTCATATTCGCATTTTACCCTCCCGCCGTCCGTTCGCATTTTACCCTCTCATCCGTCCGCATTTTACCTTCTGTCCGTCCGTTTTTCACCCTCTCATCCATCCGTCTGTCCGTCTGCCCTCTATCCGTCTTAAAAAATATTTTCATTGGCTATACGACGCCCAACACCGTACCCACGACGCACGACCCACGACGCACGACCCACGACGCACGACCCACCCACCCACGCCATTTAGCCATCCTCTTCTTTTCAGGTCACATATGGCATGTTGTAAAAGACGGACTGGACTGGACTGGACTGGACCGGACTTGACTGGACTGGACCGGGAAAACGCGGACTGAGTCCGTGTTTTACAAATCGTGGACTGAATTTGTAAAACACGGACTCAGTCCGTGTTTTCCCGGTCCAGTCCAGTCCGTGTTTTACAAATTCAGTCCACGATTTGTAAAACACGGACTCAGTCCGCGTTTTCCCGGTCCAGTCCAGTCCAGTCCAGTCCAGTCCGTCTTTTACAACATGCCTCAAACTTATGTCACAGAAGTGGTAAAGGACATATGTGACAACTGAATAGTACCTTTTGTAAATTTTTTGGCCAGGGGTGGGTATTTATTTTTTAATTGATATTTGAGGTTGGGTAATCAATTTTGTTTACTTTTTAATGGTTGGGTCAGCAAAATTTTTGCTACGAAAAACATTTCTCTTCGGTGCCACCCCCCGCCATAAATAATGACCGGTCCCTAAAAATGAACAATTAGGCTATGAAACTGAAATATTTTTCTGTTTACATATATAATCACTTTAATCTTGTAGAAACACGACTAAAGACGTGAACGTTTTCTTGAGAAATAAATAACTTTTTAAACGTTTGTATGCAATTTTGCAAATGTTTTACAGTTGACAGTGTATATTAAAAAAAATTAAAAGACATTGTTTCGTAGCTATTTTTTGGTCTAGTGATATTCGTATCATATGTAGAATTGCTGTATAGACTCGCAAGTGATTTGGCACTCAAAACGAAGTATTATTCAACGCTTTTTCCCATTAGAAACCTTTCAGAAATAGCTTTATTTTTAAAAAATAGGTACGCAGTGCGTACATGTTGCATGCCTTCTGAGACTTATGATGTGCTATAGCACTTATAACCTTTGGTATAACTGGCGTGAAACTTAAAATATTGATTCAACAAGTTTAATAATATCAATATATTTATTGAAAAATAGCTTTTATGTCAAAATAAGAAACTAAAGATTCTCACACGAATAGGCAATGTTTTTATGAGCGACCGTTCATCGTTAGTTGCAAGCGACGGTACTAACAAGGTCAAGGTCGGTCAAGGTTTTATCGAAAGCGATTGACTGTTAGATTTCCTTTACAAATTTATAACTAAATATTAAACGTTATTTCCTATAGATTTAGATTTATTGTATCTTTTAAAACGTATAAAAAACCGTGGAAACGGTGAATTACTATAATAGATTGAAAATGATTATTAATTAAACTATGATTGAAATTGTCGAAGTAGAAAAAGCATAAAGGTACTAGTCAGCTAATATGACCTGTATGGTCGTTTGAGTGATTGACATGAGTTAATTTACACTGTATCGAATGTCATGCTGAATGTCATGTTGAATCTTATGCGTACTTCACAATGGTTGCTATTTCGTTGTATTAAATTTCAATACTATTTATAAATTCAAATTTTGTTTGATATTTATTGTATATTTCATGTTATTTACAAAATGTGCTGTAGATTTGAAGCTTTGCACAGTATATAATTAGTGCGAGCACAATGGCTCCGTTTCAGTATATAAAAAATGAGTGTTTTGATAGCGTGGGCTTTGAGGCTTTCACGATATATGAATCTCGATATGAATATAAATAAACACATGATATCAGTGCGAGCACAACGGCTCCAAAATCACAACAAATCACAGAATATAAGGTAAGTTAAAAACAGCAAAGCTTTACCTACCTCGACCTATTTTCTAAGGCGCTCAATTATGTAAATTTTCGGCAAATAATCAATATTTCTTTGCGTTTCCTCGACGAAAACCCGGCATGAAAATGCTCGTCGGAAAAACTCGGTATTAGTCGTCTTTTACGAATCTGCCACGTGACTGGTACGCTCACCACCGCTCACCGCGACACGAAATTTAGGCCTGGTTCAAACGTCGAATTTTGCATGTGTCGAATACAATTCGCATTTCATTCGAGCGAAATCAATGAATTCGACGTTTGATTCAAACGTCGCATTTTGCATGCATTTAATTCGAAATTGTAAGTGTTGTAGAGTGTAGACACGCCCCCTTGATAGTTTTAATTCATAATAGATTGACATTTATTTTTACAGTCAATTTCAGCTGACTTTTCATCGTAAGATTCCGAACTTCGTTCCGAACTTCACAAATTCGTTGCCAAGTTCAAAAGTTCATAATGAAATTCACAAACAGGTTTGTAAACTGGGCATTTCATTGGCTGGTTTGATTTAATAGCCAATCAGAGGCTTTGTTTACAAACCTGTTTGTGAATTTCATTATGAACTTTTGAACTTCGCAACGAATTTACGAAGTTCGGAACGAAGTTCGGAATCTTACGATGAAAAGTCAGCTGAAATTGACTGTAACCTAGCTGTGGTTTAACAACAAGAGCGAAGTTTCGCTCAAAAATAAACACAGTATGTCAGTAGGGCCATTTATACGACTATACCAGCGAAATAAGCCGTCGCTCGTCTTATTTAAAGCACGAAAAAAATACTATGTCTATGTAATCCCGTATAAATGTTCTTGTTCGCGACTTTATTTTCGCTTGTATATAAACTGACATGAGGCTATTGACTATTTTTCACACAAACACACAAAAAAAAACATGAAATTATTACCATTCTGTGTCCTACACGCGAAATTTGATCCATTAACACTACATGCTGTCCTTCTTTTACCTCGTTCCAGACTTTTTCCGCGAGCCCCACCCTAGCAGAATTGAATTCGACACATGCAAAATGCGACGTCTGAAACGGGTCGCATTTAGCTCGCACTTAGCTCGCATTATGCGACCGGTCGGGTCGAATTTAAAGTTAAGGTCGACCGCAATTAAAAACGTCGCATTTAATCGTTTCAGACGTCGAATTTTGCATGCACATAATTCAAGCAATTGAATTCGACACATGCGAAATGCGACGTTTGAAACAGGCCTTAGAGCTATATGAAAGTTGCATGCCATATATGGCATGCAACAAAAAAGCGTGGTCAATTTTTGTTTTGTTTTGATCATGCGGTTGCGTGGGATAGTTCACGTACTGCTCCCGCGAACATCCCGCACGCAACTGTAGCCTCCTTAAAGAGCAACTGGAAAATTAGAAATTTTAAAGTGCAATTAGAAAATTTATTGAATGCAGGGTTTAGTAGTAGGTAAGTACATTTTTACTGACACGAGGGGCATTATTTTTCCGGGTTATGGTAAAGCAGGGTGACAAAATATCATTCCTTAAAATTTCGAATTACACCTCCCCACCCCCCTGATAAATTATGACCAGTCACTTATGTCATCTGATTTCCTGACTTACTTTATAGTACAAACCGGCATTAACAACTCCTGTTAAAATATACTGACATTCACGATTTTGAGCGGCAATTTTTGTTGAGCCAGTTCACGAGTGTCTATTATTGTATGTTCTTTGTATTAACCTGTGGGCTATTGTAATAATTAATGTACAAATTAAGGTTTTCTGCTGTATCAAAATTTGAAGTAAAATGAATGCAACTGATATTGACCATCTCTCTCTCCTGTAGATACCACAGCGAAAAGTTGTAATAAATCAAGTGTAGATATCGTGTTTGCTCAAACATTCGTTTTTGCTGGAGATGAGTTTGTTTTTAATTTATAACATATTCCAAAGTTGCTGTTTCACTACTAAAGTCACGTCTCTCTCCATCAATGGATCATTCCCCAATTAACCAAAATTTTGATGTCAACAAGTGTAGACAAAATTCCATCATGGCATGAAAGAGCATCACAAAATTAGTAATATTCCAAAGTTTCGTTGCGAAATGTTGTAAAATGCGGAAAGCCTTGGGAAATTTGCAATTTTCAGTCATTTTAGATTACAAACGGGAAATGGTTACCACTTTTCCAAAATTTTGATCTTAACTAGCCTAAACAGCTTGAAAGAGCATCAGAAAATTAGTAATATTCCAAAGTTTCATTGCAAAATGTTGTAAAATGTGGATATAAATATAGCCTTGCGAAGTTTGTAATTTTCAGTCATTTTGTATTACGCAAAGAACTGGTAACCATTTCCCGTTTGTAATCTAAAATGACTGAAAATTGCAAATTTCGCAAGGTTATATTATCCGCATTTTACAACGAAACTTTGGAATATTACTAATTTTGTGATGCTCTTTCAAGCTGTGATGAAATTTTCGTCTAGATTTGTTGAGCTCAAAATTTTGGTTAATTGGGGGAATGGTCCATTGTTTAGAGAAGGGCATAGTAAGCATTTTATTATTTTACTGCTGATTTCATGTCAGAAACAAAACCTATATATAGCGTCTTCATTGTGCTTTGTGTACATGTAGTCATTTATAAATAGAAATACGCTTATATAGTGTACTTTAACTCCATACTGGTCGGTATGTCTTTGATTTCAACGTCATTAAAACATTTATCTAAAAGCGTGCAGCGAAGAGGGCAGATTTTAATTATTTTATTGAAACTATCATGTATGTACTTTGTACAGAATCATTGTAATATTTCTGGTATCGTTTATTAATTATAACTAATCTCAAGAATCTATACTGAGATATGAATTATGAATCTAATGAGATGGATGGAAAAAAGGCATGTTAAGGGCTGTTTACATGACCGCGCTTTGCTGGGACGAGATGTGAGGCGGGATAATTTTGATTTAGTATTTTTGCACAAGTGAACATAACAAATCCTACAAGGTGATTGGTCAAATTTGACGTATTAATCTGTTATATTCACCTACAGGTGAATATAACAAAATCGAAATTTTCAAATTGGCAGTTAGCCGTTTTGTTGAAGTTAGTGATAAAGAAACAAGCGAAATTAAAATGAATTCAGACCAGAAAAACACAAAAAAACTTAAATACTAAAACAATTATTCGCCTCAGGCTCGGTGATTATCGGGGAATATTCACCTCGACTTCGTCTCGGCGAATATTCCCCGATAATCACCTCGCATTCGGCGAATAATTGTTAAATATTCAAATAAGTCACGGTTCATGATTGAGTGAAACTGCATTATTTTCCCAGTGATAGATTACAGTATAATTGCAAACGAAAGGCTGTTACTACGAGATCTTCTCGGCACCAACATTTCAGTTCGTTTAACATTTTTAAGGGACTTTCGTCTATAGGAACTTCAATACATCAAAATCATACTGTCCCGGCAAACAGGGTCATGTAAACAGCCCCTTAGAGCGATGTTACGGACGGGGGAAATTAGTGCAAGGTTGTATATAGAGGGGCCTGTACCGGTTTTGCGGGATGCGTCTAAAATTCAAGTGGGATTCGGGATTTTAAGAGAAATATTGGCGGGAAGCGGGATTTTATTCCATCGCGGGAAGTGGGATTAATAAAAATACCATGGCGATATGCTTTAAATCATAATACATTGAACAGTGTTAGAAAGTCGGGAGTGGGAAATTGGGATGAGGCATGGCGGGATAACGGGATGTGAAGTGAAAATTGGTCGGGATGGCGGGATTTCGGAACCCGGTACAGGCCCCTCTATATTTATATATCCAATATTTCGCGAAGTGTCCGCCACTGGTCCTAATTCCTTTTCTTCGATTCCTAAAATAATTTCAACAAAATTTATCTGCACCAAACTTCTAAAGTACTAGCGCGTTTTCCATAAGTAGAAAACGTTTATTTTTGTAGTCACACCTAATGCATGATCTTTTGCACACATTCGAAAAGTAGTCTCCTGGGTTTTCTATGGTTACACTCTATAACGAGTGCAATATACAGTATTATAGCACAATTGGAGGCGTATTTACCCCGAATTGCCACTTCATGGCAAATACGCGGGATTATATATAATCATATAGAGGGCAAAATTACTCAAATATGATTGGCTAATGATGAGGGCATTTTCTCTTAATTCAGGGCAAAATTACTTGTACCTGATTGGCTGAGACGAAAGCGCAGGAAGTCTCTTGTTTTAAATAGCAATAAAAACAATGGCTTCTCGGCGCTTTGTCGTTGCGGATAATGATGTTAGTGAAGAATTAAAAACTGCTACAGTGAAAACACGAACACTGGAAAAAGTACAAATTTATGGGTTGGAGTATTTAAGAAATGGGCAGCATAAAGGAACATCGGCGAAGACATGGAGACATACGAGGTTCAAGAACTTGACAAGTTCACAATTAACTTACAATAAATTTTGCCCTCTATGATTAACAAGTTATCGCATAGTTCCTCGTAAAATAAAGGTTTAATTTCGCTTGTTTTCAAAGTTTGTGAAACTTTGAAAACACAAGTGAAATTAAACCTTAATTTTACGAGGAACTATGTGATTACTTAGCTTTTACTTTATAGACTAATACAACGTCTAATATTACTTAGACTAATACAACGTCTTAAATTATTCTACGCACGACGCTGTTCAGTGGATGTTTTCAGTTTCCAGTTTGAAAATAAGTTGTTTGTTTGTCAATATACCAAGTACTACTGCTATGGACGTACTTGATAATAATTACTATACCTATATTACCTAGATTATCTCAGCTAATCGAATTCAACCATCTGAGGACCTGTCATTAACTAAGAAAAGGCTCCGTCACAGAGTAGGAACCTTACAGAGGGTCGACTTCTTGGTTTTGCCTATTTCACGTCACCGTTCAGTGCTGTCGCCATGGCCCATGGGCCCTAGCCAGTGCGTTTATGAGAAGCATTCACCCCCTGAAAATATTCAAAATGGCGTACGTTCAGGGGGTGATTGCCTCTCATAAACGCACTGACTAGGAACATGGCGACAGCATTTTGATGACGAATCATGGCGTGGCGCGATTACGTTTTTGCGAGTCGACCCTCTGCTTGTCTCTATTCTGTGGCTCCGTTTGCACGGACCAGATTCAGTTCGAGACCTTATTCATATTTGTACATTTCACGGCTTTGAGTTCACACGGGATGCTAACCGTACGAATTCCCGTGAATAAATGAAACCAGACGGATTTGCGAACGGTTCCAAATTCGTCCTGTCTCGTGTGAACGTAGTCCGAGTAAGATCCGCATGTCCTGCCTTGCTAGTAACATTTGTGTTCATCTAATCTCAAGTTAGTATACCGGCAAAGCAAACACTGTTAAGTTTCCACGCAGTTATCTTTCTGTCCTTGAGGTTCCACTATATTTCTCAGGTTGAGAAGAATCAGTAAGCTTGGTTTCTGAACTGGCGTTATGTATATCATTATTATTATTATTAGTAGTAGTAGTATTACGTCTTTTCAAACTTGCTTGAATGAGTAAAACAGAGATCGGTAGCAAACATAACACACACACTGCTGCCATGATGTACGCTACAGTCAATAAAGCTGCGTCGGAACTTTCCGATTCTACATACTGACAATCAACTGGATCTAAGAAATAAAAATGAAAGTATAACCATGCAGGGAAGAATGTTTAAGTTTAAAAATTTGTAATTGGGACATGAGAGTCGAGTGGAGGCCAATACAGCGAGTTTGGTAACCAAGAACGGCCACGGCAGAAAACAAAATTTTTTTGTATTTATCTTTCTTTTAAATTAAACAACTTTAAGTAGCAATAGTCAGTGACATTCACATAAAATAGTCGCCTTTGCTTCAGAGTAAAAATGTTATTGTTGATGATCACGTCTTCATTAACGTTGCCGTTGTATTTGCCAAACTCGCTACTACAGCCAATAAGAAAAATTCCGCTCCGCGCGCAAAATTCTGCCAAGTAGAAAACCGGTTTAAGTGAGATCTTGCCGGGCTGGCCTGTTCACCGAGATCTCAATTAATAGTTTAAAACAGGTAAAACCTGTAAGGGCAGTCGGGATGAAAATTTACGGATAGCGGAAGTCAAAAGGAGGAAAAGGAATTTTGTCTTTCAGTTTATTTAGAAAGCAAAATTGACAACTGACCTCTTGAAAATGGACCTAACACTTGAGACTGTGGGTTTGGTCTTCCATCAGCTAGAGAAACAAAGTAAAGTTTAACGAGCTGTTAAAGGCACAGTTCAGCCTTTTGAACGATGGTTTTTAAGGCGCATTTCAGCCCTTTTAATTGAAAAAACTAACTAGGAAAATCAATAAAGCATAATTCAAGATCACCAAACTTAATGTTTTTAACATTTTAAAACATTTTTATTGTTAAAAACATCGAGTTTACTGATTTTGAATTATGCTTAATTGATTTTCCTAGTTAGTTTTTCAATTAAAAGGGCTGAAATGCGCCTTAAAAACCATCGTTCAAAAGGCTGAACTGTGCCTTTAATGAACATTTGATCTTGGCAATGTACTGTAACTGTAAAAAAAAGTTAAAATAATCTAAGAATCTGACCTCCACATGTTGTGGCAGCAAACCCAACTTGACTATTTTGTCGATCAAAAACAACGTAAAAACCTTCCATAATGACTGCACCAATCACAGTGCCTAAATAGTGACATGTAATCAGATATTAGTGGGAAAAACAACCGTAATAAATTCTTGGGTGATGACGTCACGTACCTCTGTCTGCTTTTGTGATAGCAAATTTATAGCAGCGTTGAGAGTCGAACACGCCTCTTTCAATTGTCTCTCGTAAATATAGCTACATTGAATAAAAAGAAAAGATTAAACGTTTAAAGAGTGGAGCTAGCCTCCTCTGCAGGCCTCTCTATGGGTTTTAGCCTGCGAATGGGTTTGTAATTCCGACCACCCGATTCCTCGGGTGAGATGCCTGCGGAGGAGGCTAGAGCGGAGCTTACAAGGGTCAATTTTGATATTCATGACAACCTCAATTTAACTACGCAGCGATTTCAGACCCTTTCTGAGACAAAGTTGTGACGTCATTTTTGGACATTTATCAGTGAGCTCTCTATATATCTGGAGTAAGAACTTCAGTCATTCGGCCTGTAAGGAACGTGAAGGCAAACCAATTTGTCGTATCATTTTTCCCCAGCAGGCTGCTCCATTTACTGTTCGGGGTACTCCGGATTTTCGGAACACTAATCGAATCGAACCGAAAACGGTCACATGACTGTTCTGATTGCCCCTACTCAAAAGTAGGGGTAGCTAGAACAGTCATGTGACCGTCAGAACAGTCATGTGACCATTATTGGTTCGATTTAATTAGTGTTCCGAAAATCCGGAGTACTCCGAACAGTAAATGGAGCAGCCTGCAGCTAATTTCAGTTTTTCTAACGAATCGTATCGCTAATCAAATGATCTGTTAAGGCACACCTCTTGCAGCTTCGTGTTAACCGCGCAGACAAAAACAATCGAAAGGTAGGTAGGTAAAACTTTACTTAAAAGATCACACGCTGGACCCGTCAACTATATACATGATATAATATAACAAAACTTTATACACACTAAACTACAAATAACTACAAAACAATTATGTACAAAATGAAATAACATTATATTAGAAATTATAAGCGTCAATTTGCGTCAATTACATTTATGAATGTTTATAATGTATCTGAATCACGCATATCTACAGGTAATGAGTTCCACATTTTAGCTCCATCATATTTCCGAATTTTTCAGCAGCCATGATATATCGGCATTTGATATATACTGAATGGTTCCTTGCATGGGAAATCACCCCCTGAAATAGTTATGATGATATTGTATATACATACCTGTGGTGGCACTTTAAGTGTAAACTGTTTTGAACCAGTTATAGAAGACAAAAGTGAAATATATATATCAGGAAATTTATCCCACGGAGTTCTATCATCTGTCCAACACATCATTTGTTTACCATTCCAAAAGGGGTCGGGAATTTGAAGCTAAACATTAAAACATAATGTCGGTCTCTGAGAAGTTGAAAATAATGTGTATTCAATCCCAGTTAAATCTTAACTGGTTATAGCCAGGTTATGGAATTTCAGTGTACCAATGGACAATTCCCATTATAGACTATTTTTTTATCTTGGCAAAAAAAGTATATTCCCGGAAAGAGCATACTAAAAATCTAAAATTAGTAAAATTGCAAAGTTTGGTTGCGAAATGTTGTAAAATATAGCCTTGCAAAGTTCGCAAATTTTGTATATGGTTTGCAAAAACAACTGCAAACTGCTCTAATTCTTTCTGTCACTTTCATTTGATCTTATGCGTGAGTCGGTCTCAACGGCCTTTAATGAGTTATGTAATTTTATGCGTGTTGGACGTAAACAACATATCCTGTCTATAACTTTGAGAAGGTACACAAAACGCTTTCTAAAATCCTCAGTTCTACAGATATCTCTATAAAATCACAAGGACGTTAATGCTAAGTCTTTGGCTATGTCACTGGCCTGAAAAATAACACTTTAAACGCGATCAAGCTATTTAAAACAAAAGTAACGCGAAGCCAACGTAACGACAAAGACTAAAATGAAATATTGTCGATGGGTTGCTAGTAGAAGATTTACGACAGGATCAATCTGAAATAACCGTAAACTAGAAGAATAAATGTTCACAATAACTGAGGATTTTAGAAAGCGTTATCTGTACCTTCTCAAAGTTGTAGACAAGATATGTTGTTTACGTCCAACACGCACAATATTGCAATGGTCTCTTACAAGACTTGACTCCAGATTATATAACCCAGGATTCAGCTAACCAACTTTCGAACCCCCCCCCCCACACACTTTTTGGAGGCCACTAAATCACACAGGACAAGCAGTTACGATTTTGGATGATAGATTCAGATTTCTGTGTTAGGCAAATGGGTTATTTTGTTCATGAGTGGCGGACAGTTGTCGACCATGAAAGCATGGTGGGTTATAGATTAAGCTATCCAAAACGGCTGTCCAAAAGAGTGATGGAGCCATAGGACCATGTCTTACGAGAGGGCTTTTAGAATTTAAAGTACGTACCTTGACGTATTTCTTGATTTTATTGAGGATACCGTCATACACATTAGCAGACACACGAAGATGAGTGGTCCCACTGTCAACGATAGTCTTGTCGTAGTTATACTAAAAACAAAGCATGTGTTACATGAAGTTCATTGTAATGTAGAGGTTTCTCTAGTTTAAATCTTATTTATCTGGACGAACTTTGGCAAAGATAAATAGAAGGATATGATGGGCGGTCAAGACAGGTTATCTGTGTAGTTCAGACGAATTTACCGCACGTAGTTCGTCTTGACGAACAGGAGCATTGTCGTTATATACACGTATAGCTAATTCGTTTGGACACGGTTCGTAGTGACGGATGATCGGTCCTTAGTATAAATCAATGTTGTATAATCGGATCAATCAGGTTAATTATACAGGGTGTATAAAAAAAACTGAACAGATTTGAAATTGCTCTCAATTTCGCAAAACAGCTATTAGTATCCTGTTTTTGATATATTCCAACAAAACTAATAATGGCTTGCGCACGAAATTTAAAAGCTTTAATCGTATTTTGAGTGAAAATTGTGTTGGGTGTTTTTAAAATTGCTGCACAAAATTTCAGACAATTTGCTTCAGTTTAGGTCCTTTAACTATTCACGCAAACAAACATTTTTTTCCAAAAAAAGCAGCCTTTTGCAAACTTAATTAATGCCTTTGGCTAATTTGCATATGTCAGCAATATGCAAATTAGGTAAAGGCATTAATTAAGCATGCGAAATACTTTTTTAGGAAAACTTAATAGTTAAAGGCTTAACTTGTAAATTTCGTGCGCAAGCCATTTTTAGTTGGTTGGAAAAGAAACACCCCCTGGTTTACACAATTTGAGTTCGAGTATTTTTTCATTATTCGACATTATGGGTACTCAAGGAATCTCTATATAACAAAAACTTGATACCACGAGCTGTATTGCGAAATTGAGAGCAATTTCAAATCTGTTCAGTTTTTTGTATACACCTGTATACAAGAATCGCAGAATAACCATTCTGGCAACAGCTATGAATACCCAAAGCATAATTGCAATGATGCACACAATCGACACATGCTGATCTAGATTTGGGAAACAAGTAAAAATGATCCTGGTTGCAGAAAATAGGCTATGTTTAGTATGTTCGTCATTGTCACACTGAGATTGCAGCGGGTTCTGTTTTATGATAACAAGATACATTTGTATATACCTTCTTACAGTCCAAGCCAAGGCTTTCTTGCATGGTATTGACAGCAATGTCAGTGATAATCACTTCATAATACCATTTCTTCACGATAGGTGTATACAACATTTCACCATCATATAAACTACTATCAATGCCTCCAAATACCATTGTACCAGCAACAGTTGGGTCAGCTATAGGATCTAGCTCACTACTACCACATAACTGCATTGAGAATGAATCCTGAACAGTACCATCTTCAACAAATTGATCAAAAACTGGGACGACACTGGAATCAGGCTAGATATAACAATATAAAGCTATAGTTAAACAGTACCCTATTGGTAAATTTCAGTAATTATCAGAGGGAACTGATGGTGGTCAATTTCAGAACTGTTGCCACTCTTTGGAGCAAGCAAATGAACCTCCCAATTCTATTTATTTGTCTCCAAATACAACACTACTACATATAATGACAAACATTAACATTATTTTCTCACGCTGATGTTACATGACCAGCACTTGTGGCGTCGTGGTCACCACACTTGCTTTTCAAGTTGGGAGATCCCTGATCCGAGTTCAATCAAGGTCTTAAAATAATTGAGTAAGTGGTTAGACTTTCGCGTCTTCTCGGCATGAGGAAGTTAAAATCGTAGGTACCTTGGATCCCCTATCGATTGGGCAATAGCTTGTTGGGAAATCCGCTCACCAACGAGTGAAAATGTCATTTTGGGCTGAACGAAAGCTCGTCCGATATCAGAAATGCTCTCCACTAATATAGAGCTTTTAATTTATGAGTATAATGATTATGATTACCACTATGAGTGAAACATTTGTCATTCACACACTACCGAGATCGTATTTGACTCCTTGTTATCATTAGCAAATTGTGCACTCGTAGTTTCATAAAGTTCTCTGACGATTTAATATCCTTTAAGCCAAACTGGACCTTTGGCACCATTCAAACATTTAACAAAGTAGAGAAATTCCTATGGAGCCCATTTGTGCATGGCGCAGTTATATTACTATCAGGATTTTGGGCTACACTCGATGTAACTAATTGTAGAAGGGTTTTGTTGATGGAAATTTCATGTGTGGATGTTATACATTCATGAGACCTAACCAGAGGCAGTTGCGAAAACCACTCCTGGTTAATAAATGTATAAAATTCACACTCGAAATTTCCATCTGCAAAACCTTCTACTGCATGAGATATATATTGCTATCATATACCATGTGTAGCTATTCAGCGACATACAGGCTGGGAAAATGTACCCAATAATAGTGTACCTTTGATAATCTTGCATATGCCAAACCCAGGATTCCTTCCCACATTGATCCATTAATAAAGAATTGTTGAGAACTAAGAATACTTGCAACTTCAACACGAGCTGTCGCATTTGGTCCATCAACGAAACGCAATATGTCCGAACCAAGACGACCTTCCCAACAACCTTGTGTATACATGACAGACACATCTCTATCTTCATTTCGGTAGGTTAAAGACCTAGTATGAATCATTTGATAAATCATGGTTACTAAAAACATGTAGTACAAATTATTTAAAACATACGCATAGTACAACATTGACGAAATACTCTCTTAGATTCATCTTCTATTATATATCCCCCATCCACGTGGCTCATTAATTTAAGTCATGCTTGGGAATTTATTGATTAGCCTGAGATACAGTGAGTATTAAAGAAATATAATGCGAACTTCCGAGCCAATATTTAAGGTTACAGGACACCCTTTTTGGCGTTTTGTGGGAAATCGCTACTGCGCGCTCAAAATCAGTCCGATTTTCATCAAATTTTCACCAAATGTTAGCCAGTGCATGCAAAATATGATAAAGTTGTAAAATTGACAAACAATAAAATAATGTAAGAATTATTCAGGAAAATATTAAGTCGCGGTACCTTTACGCTTTTGAGTTATGTTCCTGCTGGTTTTACGATATATTTATGAAAATATCATTTTTATACAGTAAAATAGTTGTTCTAAAAAATTGTGTTCGGAAATTTTTGTTTATTTCGTCATTCCGCTGATATGGCGATTTCTTTGACGACTGCAATATATTTCTGAATCGTTTGTGTGAATAGCTCATTATTAAAATATCCAAAATTAGAACAAAGCCGAACACAATTTTGAAACTGCCGTCTTTAGCTATGTCCTGTGAAAATTTGAGAACAATTCGTTAAAACCCGCAGGAGCACAACTCGTTTAAAAATCAGTAATTGCCGTAAAATTCTTCGCGAGAAAATTGAATTTGAATATTACATTTTCAATGTTTTTCTTATTGCAAGCGAAATGTATTTTATTAAATAACTCTGCGAGTTTTCAACATTTTTCGTCCAAAGTTGGTCAGATAGTAGAACTAGTCTAATGCTTTCATGGAAACCAATAAAAAAAATTTAGGCAAAATTAATACTCAAAGGTGTTCAGACTCTAACCTTAAACAATCCAACCAGTAAACTTGTAATTTTTTGTTGCGAAGGATGGGGCTTAATAGAGAGGTAGGGGGGACTTTTCCTCTAAAAAGGAAGACTTATTAGAGATGGTTGTTATTTGAGAGGTGCATCGGCAAACTAGATTATCCCCGGAGTAACACGCCTAGCGATGGTACTAATTCCGCTCGACTGTTTTCAACCGCGTGAAATCATGGCGGATTTTGACGCCATTTGCATTTAAAATTGTTTACTATAGTAAATCAAAGTATTATCTTCTTACTTTTTTCGATGAAAATATGCTGGAAGATACTCGTGTTTTGAAGCACCAACAGCGAAATTACTGCTTCCAGTATCCACAAGAACATTGAGCTAGAAATGTGAGAAATATTGGAAATTAAACCAAACACTAACCACAGTTATTCATAAGTTATTCTCAGCAACATAAATTACACTGAACACTTTTTTCATCATGGACTCTTCCACTGATAGGCACATTGATATACAGTGGATATATAATTAGCCTTTCCAATGGCCGATTTTGCCGCCATTTTGGGGATACTGCCCACTGCCTCTCCCACGTTTGAGAGTCTCCGCACCACAAAATGCGACTTTTTAGTGTTGTAACTGTAAATTCACCATTATACAAACAACTACAACTTTTAAAAGTTGCTTTTCACGCTGTTTGAATCGTCTAGAATCTTTTACGAGGGCAGACAGTATACCCCAAAACTGGCGGATTTTGGCATTCGTGAGAAAGGCTAATTATATAATCAAACCAAAAATATAATCAGTATTCAATGATTTACATATATTACTGAATTAGGTGCTACAGTACATCTCTGCTACGAGAGAGATGTGAAAATCCAATTTGAACAATCCAATCTGAATTGGCAGAATTTATTTATAGTAGATCACATTTGGGAGCAACAAATAACATTTCTGATAATAAATTTAGAAACGTTTTTGGCCATGGGATACATTGCAAACAGGCTGGGATATATTTAGCCTATACTCGCAGCCCCCACCCAAAAATGTGAAACGGGTTTTCCTTCGACTATCAATAACGATCTATCATCAATAATTACTTATTATTAAACCCAGGAAAACGTTACTTCTTATAGTTCTTATATGCACAAAACAAATGCTCGCACATGGAACTAATTGAAGTTTTAATGCAATCCCCTATTTGAAAAGAGATCAAACCAGAGTACATGTATTTTACAAAGGATCGTTGGTTTTTATGAGAATTTTGTACGATATTAGTCTTTATTATGCGATAAGCAAAGCTAAAACTACTTGTAAATGAATAACCCGAAGAACTATACTTATCTAGCATACTAAAACAATTTACATAATTAATCATTCTACATAGTTAATTCTATACTTATACTACCTCCTCCACTTTTTCGAGATCATGTCAACACAACACTTCTAATTCAAGTCGAAGTTTAAGACTAATAAATTTTAATTGTGATTTCTTATTTAAAATTTTTATAACTAACAAGTTCTATCCTGTACGAAAGTTCCTAATGCATAATAACCGTGTAATAGTATCTATTAAAATGCTTGGTGCAGATGGTTTTATTATGCGTCCTGATCGGGTGTTTTGTACCATTGGTTCTTCTCGCCCTTCTTCAACTTTCATTTCTTCTCTTTGCATTTCTCGTGTCTGTTCAGGTTCGTCTACACCTGGTGGTTCATCATCTTTGATTATCTATCTACGTTTTATTTTGTACAGTCGATTACCAGATTCAACCCATATAGATCTTATATATACACTAGATAGCGCATCTCTTTCAGTAAAATTGAAGCCACGAATATTCCAGCGGTTACCTCCATTTGAATAGATGGCGGCCATGCTGGTGTTTCCCACTTGCTAATAAACGCTTACAAAACAACAATAACTTTCATCATTTGAATAGTTTGAAAATGTATTTGGAATAGGTTTAACTTAATGTTTAAGTTCCCTGTTTAAGAAATAGAAAACATACGAGTCTTCTCATTTCATGGGAATATCCTGATTCTGCAATCACGGCTTCAATTTTTGAATTGCAGAATAATTAGATGCACTATCTAGTGTATATAAGATTTCTATGATTCAACCATGTAGGATCGAACAAAATCACCTTTCTTTTTAAACCCATATATATACTTTGTATTCTGATCACATCTCCATTCTTCATTTAGAGTTGCAATTTTTTTGTTTTCGCTGTTCTCGATAATGCTGTAAACGTTCTTGAACAACTTTTGTCTCCATTGACTGATGTTGTAACTGTTCGTCGGTGACTTGTAATTTTTTTGTTTCTTAATAAATATGTATAGATCAAAAGACTTGTGATCCGTCTCCACTTCTACTTCTTTCTCATATATGTACTTTTGAAATTAATCCATGGCCAGTTGTAAAACTTCTAGTCACACGTGAACACACTTCCCAGTATTTCCAATCTGTGCATAGGTTTGTTGGGTGGTTGTCCAATATCTCCACACCTATATACGCTACAGGTTGCCTTTCTTGCATACAAAATGCTCCCAATCATGACTGGCTACTGTCGGCTGAAATACCGGGTGTCCCAAAAAAAAGTACTCCGGTTTGATTCGTAATAACTTCTAAACAAGTACAGCTTTTAAAGAGAAATAACTTGCATCAAATAGAGGAAGGACTAACTTAGATATCGATATATTACAGTTGTATTTCACTTAAAAATTCACGGAGATATTAATGTTTAAAATCGGGAGCATATTTCTGGATGTATCTGAAATATGCAAAAAACGGCGTATCAAATAATAATCAAGATTTTCCCGATTGAAATATGCACTATTACCAGTAATTAAGAGACACTTGACAAATTGTTTATTATGAAACAAAGTATTATTATCTACAAAATACAAGCAAGATTTATTTGTCCGAAATTCGCGTGTGTTCCTAGCACGAATACTTTTCCTTATTTCATGAGACCACTGCATCGCGAAGGATCGTCATGGATCGTTCGTATAGTTTTGAATTAGGGCATGCTGTCATGGCAATGGAATTGTGAATTTTCTAACTTCACATTGAATGAATTTTCTAACTTCTGCAACGTTCTGAAATCTTGTTAAAACACCCAAACTCTTTTGCCTTTCTTAATCTTGGCAAGTTCAGAATAAACTGAGAATCAAACACGATCAAACCATACAACTCCATAAGTAAAGACATAACAAGCAACTCCCCAGAGACATCCAACATTTTTGGAACAAAACGTAACAAAATAGAAGCGTTGATACTGTGATGTGTATTTGCAAAAAGCAATATTATTTCCTTCATTAAGGAATAATATCCATCCTGCTCTAACCGAGAAATAATCAACTTTGTTTTGAACCCATGCATGAAAAACATAAAAAAGTGGGCTATTTAATAAAAATTTAAGCGCCTGCCTTGCATGGTCTTTCATGCATGTACCTTTAAGTTTGTAAAGACCTATTAAATACTTGGATAATTTCGAACGTTATATTATATATTTCAAGAAACAATGAGTTAAGACTTACATGTAAGATGTCTAAATCTACGCCATATCCCTTACAAACCCTCAGGGGCGGCGGAACAGGGGGGCTAGGGGGGCTAAAGCCCCCCAGAAGTAAAAGTGGGGGGGCTTAGCCCCCCCAGAAAATTTGAATTTTTTGAAAAAATTTTGATAATTAGGGAAAAATTTAGGTTATTTTTTGAAAATTTGGGTATAAGGGGACAAATTTGCAATATTTTGTTTGAAAAAGACCTATTTCCGGAAAATTTTTTTGATATAAGTCCGGAAAAATTTTTTTCGTCCCTTTTTTGTTATATTGTACCCCTAAAGTGGTACACTGACCGAAATTTTTTTGGCGACGGGGGGGGGGAGGTCGCCGAAAAAATTTAGCCCCCCCCAGAACGAAATCTGTTCCGCCGCCCCTGCAAACCCTAACGTCAATTCGCTGAAATACAAGTTAGCCTGACATGTCATTAAGCAAACAAACGCTGAAGTTAATATTTGATATGCCGATTTTCGCTAATTTTAGACGCATCGCAAAATATGCTCCCGATTTTGAACATTAATATCTCCGTGAATTTTTAAGTAAAATACAACTGTAATATATCAAAATCTAAGTTAGTCCTTTCTTTATTTAATGCAAGTTATTTCTGTTCGATAGCTTTACTTGTTTAGAAGTTATTAAGAATCAAATCGGAGTACTTTTTTTGGGGACACCCGGTATAGGAAGTGCTTATGAAACGAAATTTTTGCCTCATTTTTATTGTTTTATTAAAAGGTACTGCTCAAATGATGAAGAATGACGTTTACAGTTTATTCGTATCTCATCTCATTCCCAAGTTATCGCACTTTCTATATTTTGAGTTGTGACATCACAAGAAGGACTTGAGATAATGGCAATAACAAGAAAGTTTGATATCTTGGTGAGTATTTAATAAAATTCAATGAAACTTGGCACACTTAGTGGGTGCACCCATATGAATATTTTTGGAAGGTCATGTGGTTGCCATGGCAACAGACTAGTCCCCAGTCTCTTCTCTTCCTTTTTACAAATGTCCTCCTGTAGACCTCTTGCAGAGGATGTTTGCATGTTATAACGGTTTAAGAGCGACTGTCCGTAAAAATCGAGCAAAATTTGAATTCTGCGGCAATACACGAAAAATAGATTTCGTTCATATTTTGCTCAAATTAAGGTAATACCTAGTTATAAATGGTGTTTGGGTTAGATTTTCAATATTTGGTCGATAAACGTACAAATATCAGAAATCAAGAATTTGTCTCCAGGAGGCTATAATTAGCCGCAGACAAAGCTGCTGCCATGGTCAGTTTCATCACTTCGCGACGGATTCAAAACTGCCCGTAGATAGTTTTGATGGCATAATGACTATAATTCAAGTATTAAAGAACAATTTTATCAATATGGAATGGCCCAGGAGGCTTTAGCTGGCCTGACAGACGTTGTTGAAATTGGCTATTTTTAGTCAAATTTTACAATTGCATTTTGTCACTGGATTTGAAGGGGAAATTTACTATGTGCGATAATCGTGAATTTGTTTATATTTCATCCACGGAATGGTATAGCATGGGTACATGTTATATATAAAAACTGGCTTGGGTTATTGCCTTGGAGCCTCACGCGAGACTTTTAAAAAAGCTCATTTTGGTGATTTTTAGTGGAATGTAACGCAATTAAATCATTAGGCCCATACGTCTATACCAGAGTCACGAAGCTCAAATTGTTCAAAACTTTGAATTTTGTGTTTCGATATCAATGTATATGCTTTTTATACCTTATAAAGAATCGTTTAGAAGGATTTTCAATATATTTTAGTGATAGGCCTACTTACAACAAAAGCACAACCAATCATCATATCATTACTAGACTGCATGTAACGTTGCTATTTATAGCAATTCGCGTGTTGTTACTGAATGTATATTTAATATGTCTGCAGTCTGTAAGCTTTTGAAGTCTTATAATTTCTCATTTTTGTTTAATTTAATGCTTTCTCTGCATATGTAAACCAATAGAATTAAAGCTAGGTAAATACAATAAAAGTACATAAGTTGAAAGGTTAATTTATACTATGTGCGAATCGATAATCGTGAATTTTTTATATTTCGTCCACGGAATGCTATAGCATGGATACATGTTGTATATAAAAACTGGTTTGTGTTATTGCCGTGGGGCCTCACGCGAGACTTTTAATTAAAAAAGCTTATTTTGCGGTAGTTCAGCTTCTCAAAAAGGCCCTGGGGACGAGGTTGAGTTCAGGCGACAGTCAGGTAGTCTATTTCAGACCATGTTACGATATAAAAGACTATAAAATAATATAACAAGTACGATCGTACTATAGTGGACCAGGAACTGCGTGACCCAGTTTCGATCTTGTGCAAATCGTTAAACGTTCAAAACCTTCGAGATTTTGACTTGATAAACAAATAACTAGACACTTGTGAAACCAATGTTCTCGAAGTTTGCAACGTAGATTGAGTTCACTAAGGTCTTAGGGTTTTTTCAAAGAGCGTTGCCCCCTAACAACAACAACAACAACAACAACAACAACAACAACAACAACAACAACAACAACAACAACAACAACAACAGCAGCAGCAGCAGCAGCAGCAGCAGCAGCAACAACAACAACAACAACAACAACAACAACAACAACAACAACAACAACAACAACAACAACAACAACAACAACAACAACAACAACAACAACAACAACAACAACAACAACAACAACAACAACAAGATTAGCAGCGATTGCATGGGGACCAGTTCCTGGTCCAAAAACAAGTTGACAAAGATGAGTTTAGTTCTTAGATTATTTACAAAGCAAATCTATATACCTATGAATATATAAATAATTTTAAAATGTTTGTTAGTGGAATCTGGGAAATAAAATCAATGCCAATGTTGAGCGCTTTATAATGAAAAACTATAGCTGTCAACTGAATAACAACTGTATAAAATTTATAGCTGCCTCACTGCTCGTATATATATATATATAAAATAGAATATGACTGTCTATAAACAACAAGCAGTGTTATTTTTAAGTTTACGTTTTTATATTGATGGGGGATTAAGTAAAAACAAAAAAGTAAACTACAATATTAAAACAGTAGCTAAAGCAGATCCTTTGTAAATGATGTCCTACACTGCGTGGAAATGAACGTAGTCTTGATTGATTGATTCTTTAATTTTCTGTAGAGGTTTTGTTTTGCTCAAAAATACAGCTTCAATGATGAAGAATGACTGTAACAGTTTATTCATATTCAATTTATCTCGCTTTTCTAAATATTTTGACGTTGTGACGTCACCGTGAGATCGTGTCAAGAAAGTCTGATATCTTTGATGATAACTTTTAAAATTTAGTCAAACTTGGCATGTTTACACTGTAATGGGTGCACCTGCAAGTGAACAGTTCGGATTATTTATGTTTTGCCATAACAAATAATTAGTCCCCACTCTTTACTCGTTTATAGCTTCTCTTCTTTTTTACAAATTCCTCCTGTAGACTTTAGTTTACTCGTTTCAATGGTTTACACATGCAGGGCTGTAAATACTTGTTACAATTGTAACGCGTTACTGTGTACTCGTTACATTTGAAGTAATTTTAACCTCTAATTAATTACGTTTTTGGAAATGTAACGAAAAACGTAATTAATTACAAAAGCAAGGAACGTGTTCCTTTTCCAAGGAGCAAGTTGAAAATTCCTTTTCTTATTTTGTTAAAAGTGAGAAATAAAAAATACAACGTTACGACAAAAATTCAGAAAAATGGCTGAAATAATTTTCAACGAGATCACTGCACATGACACGATAGCCTACATGAAGTACTATTTAATTTATTGCGAAAGTGGAACCACAATTTGTTCCGAGGCTCAGAGCGCCAAATATTGGCAAATAAAGTTTCAAGAGTTTACATGCTTCGATTTGCATGTAAAATTTTTAATATATTGAAATATCATCTTGATAAATTCTTGCAAATTTCATAGTTTATGCCGTTTTTATTTACAACTACTGTTTAAGATATTATAATATATATAGTAACAATTTGCCGGTAAAGGAATTTGTAATTAATTCCTTTTTTCCGCAGTAATTTTTTCATTGTACTTAATTTCATTTTAGAACAAGTAATTGTAATCAAGAATTTATTACATTTTAAAGCAAGTAATTGTAATTGGAATTAATTCCTTTTTCAGTGGTAATCTTGCAGCCTTGGGTTTACAATTATCACAACACCTATGAATACTATCGTAATAAGCGGAAATTGCAGAAATTGGTTTTTATTTCGCTGGAAATGGTGGAAACGAACACCGCGGGGAAACATCTGCTCATGCCAAATCGTAAACTTTTAAAAACATTGCTATTTAATTATTTAAGGTAATTGAAACAAACAAAAAAATACATTAGACGGGTAGTTTAGATATTAATAAAAAGTTTTCTAACATTACAGTAAAAATCTATAAAGAAACAGAATTTAAATTAAAAATTACCGTTTAAATTAAGACCAGGAGGCGTAGACTATAATTATTTCTCCTTTTATTTTGTCACGTTCATTATTCCGCTTGCATTTTCGGGCAAAACATCGAAGTCGCTCCTTGTCGCTTCCATTTTGAGTTTTCGACAACCATTTTGAGTTATTGACAATTTTTATTTTGCTCATGTACATATATCTTTTTCTTATTTGTAGCATATGTAGAAGAAGCTCACCTGTTTGTTAGTTTCGTAACAGGAGAGTCCAGGAAAATGTCTAGCGTAAAGTGTAAACATATACATGTTCCAACTTATGTACTTTTATTGTACTTACCTAGCTTTAATTCTATTAGTTTACATATGCAGAGAAAGCATTAAACAAAAATGAGAAATTATAAGACTTCAAAAGCTTACAGACTGCAGACATATTAAATATACATTCAGTAACAACACGCGAATTGCTATAAATAGCAACGTTACAGTCTAGTATAATGATATGATGATTTGTTGTGCTTTTGTTGTAAGTAGGCCTATCACTAAAATATATTGAAAATCCTTCTAAACGATTCTTTATAAAGTATACAAAGCATATACATTGATATCGAAACACAAAATTCAAAGTTTTGAACAATTTGAGCTTCGTGACTCTGGTATAGACGTATGGGCCTAATGATTTAATTGTGTTACATTCCACTGGAAATCACCAAAATGAGCTTTTTTAAAAGTCTCGCGTGAGGCTCCAAGGCAATAACCCACGCTAGCTTTTATATATAACATGTACCCATGCTATACCATTCCGTGGATGAAATATAAACAAATTCACGATTATCGCACATAGTAAATTTCCCCTTCAAATCCAGTGACAAAATGCAATTGTAAAATTTGGCTAAAAATAGCCAATTTCAACAACGTCTGTCAGGCCAGTTAAAGCCTCCTGGGCCATTCTATATTGATAAAATTGTTCTTTAATACTTGAATTATAGTCATTAAACCATCAAAACTATCTACGATCAGTTTTGAATCTGTCGCGAAGTGATGAAATTGACCATGGCAACGGCATTGTCTGCGGCTAATTATAGCCTTCCGGAGACAAATTCTTGGTTTCTGATATTTGTACGTTTATCGACCAAATATTGAATATCTAACCCAAACACCATTTATAACTAGGTATTACCTAAATTTGAGCAAAATATGAAAGAAATCTATTTTTCATCTATTGCCACTGTTTGCTCGATTTTTACGGACAGTCGCTCTTAAACTGATCACAATACCTACACGTATTATATTAATGAGCGAAAATTGCAGAAATTGCTATTTATTTCGTTGGAAATGGATCACATAGAAATTGGAAGAGAAGGGACTGGGGACGAGTGTGTTGACATGACAACCATATAAACAAGCCAAATTGTTGACTTTGGTACACCCACTCAGTGTGCCAAGTTTCATTGAATTTTATTAAACGGTCACCAACTTATTGCCATTATTTCAAGTCCTTCTTGTGACGTCACAACTCAAAATATACAAAGTGCGATAACTTGGGAATGAGATGAGATACGAATAAACTGTAAACGTCATTCTTCATCATTTGAGCAGTACCTTTTAATAAAACAATAAAAAATGAGGCAAAAATTTCGTTTCATAAGAACTTTAAGCTTCACGTTTCCAGGCAACGGCAAACTGCAGGTTCAAATTTTCTTTGCAAAATTTTCGTTGAACGTTTTCGTTTCATATTTTATTTTTTGTGTCGAAAGAATAATTATGCATTGCAGTTTTAAAACAACAAGTTCATTTACTCTTTATTGCCTTATACCGTAAAATTTCTTTGCCTGGCGTTTGCCGTTTGCCGTATAAACGCGAAGCTTAAACTCTCTGATTACAGACTTCTTCACATCGTAATACTTATTATAAGGACAGTTATTAATTTGGCGAAATCACTGAATCATTCCCATGAAACGTTGCTCATCTTTTCGCATATAGGCTCGGGCATCCCAGTCGAGGCTTGCTGCTAATTTGCTATAGAAATATTAAAATTTAGCAGAAAGCTTCGTTCTCATGCAATTATTATCTTTGCCTTCGGGCATTCGACCGCAATTCGGCAATCGCCTATTGGATTTTCCAGAAACCACTGGCAGCACCCAAAGAAGAGAACACTTTTGCGCCGGACAATCTCCAAACAACCTCTTCAATGGTCGTTCTTGCGTAGACTGTAGTGTTCCCGTTGCTTGATTTAGATTCTCAAGTGAATTATCTGGTTTCACGACTGCTACCACGGAGGATACCCACGCTCACCAACCGGGCTGACTCGTCAATACTTTCCATTCGATCAAGCTCTGCCTTAATTCTTGGGTGCAGTGTTGCTGGTACTCACACAATGTCGATCACTGCCACTGGTTTAACATTTTTGCATTCCATCTTTTTTGTGGTGCGAGCCTGGCAGACAGCCGATCACTGAAGTTGTAAAAACTTTCTGAGCCACAATTCCTCTCAATGTCTTGTATTCGATGGATTAAGTGTTTTGATCAAGAAACATTGGAACTTATCATAAACAGTCTCGTCTTTCTTTGGCAAATTATACTATTGCTCGACAGTCTGGTCCAACACTTCTGGGGCCGCTTGTATGTATAAAACTCTTAACACTTTTTAACCACTAATGCACTATTTTGTATAGTTAAATTAATCGTAGGTGACTCTAAACTACGTGATTTTGATTGTTAGCTTTCACACTAACGCCCGTATTCTAAAAGCTCACTCACACTCAATGAGTGGAGGTTCAATCTGAGCTTCTCTTGAGTGTCAATGCTGTTTTTGAATAGCTGGAGACTCAGTAGTCACATAGTAAAGTATGACACTAGCCCTCCAGCTATTTAAAAACAGCAATGACACTCGAGAGAAGCTCAGATTGAACTTCCACTCATTGAATGTGAGTGTGAGTGAGCTTTTAGAATACGGGTGTAACTGTAGTGTATTAATAAAATACCTTTTTATACAATTGGCCCCTGGGTAATTTAGCTTAGTTGATGAGCTAAATCCATTTATGTAATCATGACAGTAAAAGTTGGATAGGAAGAAAGTTGATTAGTTAATAATTATGTAACAGTGCATGATATCGACTGTGTCAAAAATCACTAATTAATATTGAAGGTTTTAGTAGGGGGGCATCCATTTAGTATGTACGCAGGGGGAGGTGGGAGTTGGTATGATCGAAGTGTACATTTGCATACAGTGGGGGGGGGGTTAAACCGTTGTTTCGTACGTACGCATGATGATGTTTTGGGACCAACAAATATTTTCAAATAACCTAATTTTGCTTCCCTAAATGAGCGTACTATTTGTATAATAATAACATGATCGCCTCGATTTTCATTGTTCTGAAAGGGAATGTGAATGTCTTCTAATTTGCCCGTGCATGCTTGATGAGGTAAAATTAGAAGACAAAGAAATCTTTAGAAAATTAGAAGACAACATAATATGTTACTATATAAGCCTTCTACAGAGCCCAGCTGTTCGAACCCCAATCACAAGTTTGTGTATATACTGTATACTAAGGTGATAGCAGTGTAAGGTTTATAGGCAAATGATATTTATGAACAAACGCTAGTGACTTCATTTTACACTCTCAAAGAGTTAACACTGAAGGAAGTCACATGAAGATAGAAATATTGTCTAAAAAAGTGTTATATATAAATAATATATTAATCTATATTGTCCATAAAAGTTTGTACAACTAATAATATTAAATAAAGTTTTGGAGCACATGTGTGGCAGTGATCAACTCGAAAGCCTAGGTTACTTTGATCACTGTGCACAACTGTTACTTTCATAACTGCTTTTCATAACCGCTTATAATGTAAACTATGGTATTTATAGTTTTCTGTATTCTGTAATATTTTATGTATTTTGTGTATTTATGTATAAATGTGCAAATTCTAATAAAATCCTAAATCTTTGTGCATGTATTAGTGATTCTATAACTGGCAAAAGTAACTTGAGTGTATGGCAGAGGTACACTGTAATGTTATACAAAGGGATTATATTATAAATGTTGCTGCCACATATTATGAGGGTGGGAAAGGGGGGATATGGATCACGTTCAGGGACGCCGGAACAATGTGAAGGCAAGGGGGGGGGGCAGATTTTCGTGAAAGGGCACTTTTGAATTGATATGTACTAAGAGATGTTTGCAAAACATTGGGAGTTGAATTTCGCCTAATCATGTTTTTATTTATTGGATGATAGGGGTGTGAGGGGGTTCTCCGCCAGGCGATTGTGCTATTCTTGAAGCTCGATGACTGCATTTCTTGCGTTTTCTGAAGCAAATTCGTAGAAGAATCACACTAACATTTCTGACAATTTGCTATTTCGCCAAGGCAATCCTTTAAATTGAAAGGGCACCTTTGCCCCCTTGCCCCTCCTGGTAAAGGGCAACGGGGGCAGCTGCCCCTCCTGTCCCCCCAGTTCCGGCGTCCCTGATCACGTTTCACAACGAAAAAAAAAGCTGTTTCACGATTCACATGTCTTAAAAAGCAATTTCACGAAAAACTAGATTCTAATAAAATAATATAATAATAATAGGTTTATTAAGAGTATGTTTAATGCATGGTACAGTATGTCAGTATCTATGCTTTAAGTTCTCTCACTTCTCTGCCTGGCAGTTAAAAACTACATCATAACTTACAAGTTTGAGTTACGAGCATGTATGATGACCTCCGAAAGGCCTCCGAAGTTTTTACTCTTATGCAATCGAGTGAGATCATATAAGTTGATTATCACGTATCATGTTTATTTATTTATGACTATATTATAAAATAGATCGAAATAAACAAAGCAAAATCACAGTTCACGAAACAGACATCCTTAATTCTCATTTCACGGAGCATGTTTATCGACAATCATGCTTCACAGCTGTAGAACAAATCACATTTCACGACACTAAAATCAATCATTTCACACGAACAAATATTGACCATTCACGGCTCACGAAAAAACCCTTTCCCACCCTCTACTATCACAGGTTAAGTATAAAATATGATGACGGGGCACCTTTATTAATTATAATTGCAACCTTAATGGTTTCCAGTTAAAGATCGGCTCTATTTTGGTGATCCCCTGCGCGGAAAGTCCATAAATGATAAAAGTACAAGGCAGCAGGACAAACTTTATGTGCTTTACCATTTGTTTTATTTGCCAACAGAAAAAAGGTACAAAGAATAAAATCATCTGGCATTTGACAAAGTAAAATAATAAAGTATAGTGCATTAGGGAGCAATGCAACTTTACGGGTTAAATATCTGGTGCATTCTTGCTTTCAGCAAATTATTTAGGTTTTTCACTATTATATACACTTTTTGATTAAACATGATCTGAACATTTTCCTGTTTGGCAGTGTGGTACTGCTGATTGTTATAACACAAGTACCTTTTGGCATATATTCGAGCAATCAAGGTACCATTTACATAGAATGCACCCTGGTGAGCACAGCTGGTGAGCAGCAGCTTCCAGCAGTGTGTGAGAATTATGCATTTCCAGACTCTTCCAAAAACAAGTACTTAATTATTTATTACTGCTGGAAACAACTGTTTTGATGATCTGTGAATTTCTTTGTTTGATAATTTTTCAATTACCAAACAGATTTATATTTATTAAAGTAGCAGATTATGAATTATAGTTTGATAACTAAAAAATGTGTAATCTAATTTGTGTTTTGCATGGTGGGATTGAATGAATTCATTACATCCATGCTCAAACTTATACAATTCCCCCTTATGCATGCAATTACAAAGCATGGAAGCAGATAAATTTAGGAACAGCTAACCATATAAATTCCTGTGAGAATAAATGGACAAGATGAATTTGCATAATCTAGTCTAACATAATAATGAGAACTAGTTTATATTAAAGAAATACATAGAAATGTGAACATTATAAAATATCAGATAAACACACATTTAAAACTTTGTTTTAATATTGAAAAGGTACAGCTTTCTAGAAAGGCCCATTTACATGATAAGACTAGTTTGATATGATTGTCATTCTGGCATATGAAAATATCTGCTGATGCCACTTGATTCCTGTTCATGAGAAAATCGGCAATTGTGACACCTTTATGCACTTGGAGTACATATGCCAGGGTCATATACAAGCTATCAAGCACAGTAGTTGCACATGGTGGACCTAAATAACACTTCCATATGAAGCTTCTGAGTTGTAAAATATTGATAATGTCTACATTAACATTAATGTCTACAAAAACAAACACTGATATTGTCTACAGACAAAAAAACCTAAAATAAGCGGAAAAATAATAAGCGTTTAATGCCACCTGAAATTATATATCTTTAGCCCAGACGTTTATGAATCTTTAATCTACAATTTTACACAAAATCACATTTTGTGTATTACATGCAAGAATATAATTGTGATTCAAATAAAACATAAAATACAGTAAGACGTAACAAGGAAATATTTGTCAAAGCGGTTTGGAGCAATTTTTTCAAACACATTTCAATCGTTTGAACACCACGCCTACAGTACCCGTAGTCCGTAGAAATGCTCAAAAAGCGCAAGCTTTTGCTTAGATCAAACGAACATACATGTGTTTCATTTTTAAGCATTTTAGTCTTTTGAAGTTATTACGGAAGCTTACCGATTGCGGTGGTGTTCCAAGTTGAATTGCCAGATAGTAACCTTGCCCTGGTCGGCCTGATAAATTGTCATGATATTTTGGACTAATGTCTGACTGCGACTCTGACAAATCTCGTTTCTCTTTAGTCTTGTTTGTGTCCCTGTACTTCCTCAAAGGAATAGTTATTGTTTTTGATATTCCATCTGAAGCATATATTCCTTCAAACAAACACGCCAACACATTAAAAAGAACAAGATATTCTGTTAATCTATCGACTTTCATCTCTCAAAGTCAAAACCGCCGACGGCTGACAGTCTTTGCTAAAATAATCTTGATCCAAAAGCGTTTACATCCACAAATACATTAGATTACAAAGAATATTTGTCCATCTTTCGTTTTAAACTATCATTACCAACAATCGAATGGACACGAATTAAGAATTATATAATTTACATATTTCAACTGAAAAAATATTCCGAAAGACGACATATAAATATATACGTTCTGTTTGTTTACATTCCAGTTCAGTGGATTAAGAGGAGTAAGTGGGTTGATTTAGGAAATCTATAGTACTCAACCTCATTTATCCCACATTATCAATGAGCAACATTGTCATCAATAAATTTCGGGTGGATTTCATTTTTGTACCAGTAGATTTTATATTTTTACTGGATCACATCGATTCACATGGAATAAATGAATATGTTTCTTTGATTATAACTATAATTCAAATGTATTGTGTAAAGACTGACCTATATAATAAACATAATGAAACACTTGTTGACCAACCACAGGGGGTCCAACTAAGAGCTGTGTTATGAATATGAATAAAACATTAATTAAACGTAATATGAATAAAACATCATAACGTAATATATTTAAATTATTGCACTTACTTGTATAAATCATAAGAGCTTGTATTTGCAGTGAATAGCTTTTAACAGGGCGCTTATACACGCTCAGAAAATCGCTCAGAAACATTTTGATTCGAACGATTGTTCAAATATGGCGAATAAATTGACAAAACGAAAATATTACATGACGTTCCAACGAAAGTAACAGCAAGGATTGCGGGCGCGCGAGCAAGCGAAAAGGCGAGGGAAGAAATAAATAGAAGGGACTAAAAGGCGAAACGTCGAAACGAAACGACCGAAACGAAACGGCCGAAACCACCGAAACGACCGAAACGAAACGACCGAAACGAAACAACCGAAACGAAACGAAACAACCGAAACGAAACGACCGAAACGAAACGAAACGGCCGAAACGAAACGGCCGAAAATATAAAACACAGGAAAATTGAAAAATGCGGATACGGACGGACGGACGGACGGAGGGGACAGGCGGATGTACGGGGGAGACAGGCGGATGGACGGGGGAAGAGGCGGATGGACGGGTGGGGGACAGGTGGATGGACGGGGGAAGAGGCGGATGGACGGGGGGGACAGGCGGGTCGACGGGGGGGGGACGGCTTCATTTGACACGAAACTGATATTTAAAATCAAATCCGCGTTTTGTTGAAAGGGATATATTAGGATATATTATAAAAGACTATTATTAATCGTAATAAATTGTCCGCGAAAAGTTGATAAAATACATGTGGAAATCGGGGTTTTTCGAACCTTCGTAACGCTTGATATAAGGATAAAACGCGGATATGCTACAACTTTCATGCTTAATATTCTCAGTCATCTGGGTATGTAGTAGTCTAATTTTATGCAATGTAATGTGCTATTTTTTCAAGCGCTTTTCAATGCAGTTATCAGTTTAAATATACCTAAAATTCCCGTTAAGAGATATGACAATTGCCGCACGGCCTACTTTTACGCAAACGAAAATTTAATTCAGCTACAATTGACCATTTGTGTAATAGACTAAATTTTGATCTAAACAAGTCTAGACAAGAATTTCATCACAAAGTTTCGCTGCGACATGTTGTAAAATGTGGAAAATATAGCCTTGCGAAGTTTGCAATTTTCAGTCATTTTAGATTACAAACGGGAAATTGACAGCCTCAAAGGGTTTGGGGCTGTCAATTTCCTATTTGTAATCTAAAATGACTGAAAATTGCAAATTTTGCAAGGCTATATTTCCGCATTTTACAACATTTCGCAACGAAACTTTGGAATATTACTAATGGTCAATTTGCAAAAATTTCATGCTTAATTTTCTCTGTTATCTGGGTATGTAGTAATCTAATTTTATGCAATGTAATGTGCTGTTTTTTCAAGGACTTTTCAATGCAGTTATCGGTTTAAATATAACTCAAATTCCCGCTAAGATATGACAATTGCCGTACGGCCTACTTTTACGCGAACGCAAATTACAACTGCAAATTTCGTGCTTAATTTTCTCTGTTATATTATCTGCGCATGTAGTAATGTAATTTTATGCCAATGTAAGGTGCTATTTTCAAGGGCTTTTCAATGCAGTTATCGGTTTAAATATAACTCAAATTCCCGTTACTGATATGACAATTGCCGTACGGACAACTTTTACGCAAACGCAAATTACAACTGCAAATTTCATCAGCACATTACATTGGCATAAAATTACATTACTACATGCCCGGATAATAGAGAAAATTAAGCATGAAAGTGGCAATTGTAGCTAATTTTCGTTTGCGTAAAAGTAGGCAGTACGGCAATTGTCATATCTTAACGGGAAAATTAGGTATATTTAAACCGATAACTGCATTGAAAAGCCCTTGAAAATATAACACATTACATTGCATAAAATTAGATTACTTAATTCATACCCAGATGACTGAGAAAATTAAGCATGAAAGTTGCAGCATATCCGCGTTTTATCCGATCAAGCGTAACGAAGGTTCGAAAAACCCCGATTTCCACATGTATTTTATCAACTTTTCGCGGACAATTTATTACGATTAATAATAGTCTTTTATAATATATCCTAATATATCCCTTTCAACAAAACGCGGATTTGATTTTAAATATCAGTTTCGTATCAAATGAAGCCGTCCACCCGCCTGTCCACCCCCCGTCCATCCGCCTCTTCCCCCGTCCATCCACCTGTCCCCCACCCGTCCATCCGCCTCTTCCCCCGTCCATCTGCCTGTCTCCCCCGTACATCCGCCTGTCCCCTCCGTCCGTCCGTCCGTCCGTCCGTCCGTATCCGCATTTTTCAATTTTCCTGTGTTTTATATTTTCGGCCGTTTCGTTTCGGTTGTTTCGTTTCGGTCGTTTCGTTTCGGTTGTTTCGTTTCGGTCGTTTCGTTTCGGTTGTTTCGTTTCGGTCGTTTCGTTTCGGTTGTTTCGTTTCGGTCGTTTCGTTTCGGTCGTTTCGGTGGTTTCGATGGTTTCGGCCGTTTCGTTTCGGTCGTTTCGTTTCGACGTTTCGCCTTTTAGTACATGCCCTTCCCGGCATGCATTGTAACTCATTCATATTATCGATTTCCCGGGACGAGCCGTCATTGTTCGACTAGCTCTCGTTGTGTTCACTACTCAATTTGCAAGGAGCGGTATTCAAAAGTACAAATTGAAAATTGTAAATCATGGCGAATTTTCGTACTGTTCGTGGCAACAAAGCTACTGATTTGGATGGACGTGACAATCTTTATGTACATTGTCATTGTGTGTCGAAAGAGCGACTGGAGCTGCTTCGTGAAGGGATGTCGAACTTCTAGTTTTATGGATAACGACAAGTCGACAACATTTGGCGTAAAAGTTGACTTATTATATGTTCGCCGAATGCGATAGTCCTTCATTGATAGAAATCTATTCTAGTTGTGACCTTAAGGTACGATTATTTTATGATTTAATTGGTGGGAAAATGGGCCATTTATACTCGGAAATCATACAAGACTACAAGTATTTGAATGTCAAATGAGTCAAATCTATTTTAATATCATAAAAGCAGGGAGGAGGGGCAAGGGGGGCAGAAGTGCACTTTGTGTTATAGAAATTCTGCCTGCTAAATCTTATCTCCAGTTTTGGGCAAAGTCACGAGGTGTGAACTTGAATGTGACCTGATTAAGTGTGTTTGTGCAGTTATAGTTCATTGAGTAGACTTTATTTCCAGAACACAGAACAGCTATCGTCAATGGAACATGCACACTCAGGCTTTCATTGGCAAGTCAACACATAATTGTAGGTCTATAAAGGTGCCCTTGCCTTTTTATTGTTCCAACGTCCCTGTATAAATGCATCAAATCTTTTTTACCTGTAGTACTTATGTTGTGTTCTGTTGTGGGAGTTTAACATTATTCCATCACCAACTTCTGTAACAATCTGACCACCCAAGCTGGATATTTTAGAGGATATACTGAATGACCTACCACTGGTGAATTTAGATGAGCCATTGTTATGCAATTACATTAAGCAGCCATTAAATCCTATGTGTTTAGTTAAAATTCATGGTGAAGAGATGCCTGGTGATGTTGAAAGTATTGGTGCAGAAGGTGGAGTTGCAGACATGGACAAGATTGATGAAATTCAGCAGTTGACTCAATTATTGGGTGTGGAACAGGCTACTGATGATGCTAAATACATGAATGATTCAAGCTCTGATTAGGAGGATGGAGACAAGGATTCTGAAGGACAAGGATTGTGGAGGAGACACATTGTATCCTGAGAATTAAGACAAGGATTGTGGAGGATACTTTGTATCCTGAGAAGTTTGTTGTAGCTGGTGCCTGGCGAGAACAAAGATACCATGCAACTTGTGATAATCATGTATAGATTATCAAAAAATCTCAAGTTGAAATTTAAAGTAGAACATGAGCAAGACATTTTTAGTTGAGATTTTCATATAAATTTATTCCTATTAAAACACTGTTATTATTTCAGGTAAATATTTGATATTAGTATTTTTCTGCACAAGTGAACATAACAAATGCTACAAGGTGATTGGTCAAATTTGATGTATTAATCTGTTATATTATAACAAAATCGAAATTTTCAAAATGGCGGCTAGCTGTTTTGTTGAAGTTAGTAATAAAGAAATAAGCGAAATTAAAATGAATTCAGACCAGAAAAATACAAAAAACTTGTGCAAAAATACTAAAACAATTATTCGCCTCAGGCTCTGTGATTATCTGGGAATATTAACCTCGGCAAATATTCCCCGATAATCACCTCGCCTTCGGCGAATAATTGTTAAATATAATTTTACCATTCCTTTTTCAAATAAATAAATGTTTTCAAACTCAATTTCCTGTGTTTGTTTACTGCAGTCATTGTGCATGTGTTCTTAACACTGTTTTAACAGCTGTATATTTAGCACAGATGGATCACTGATCTAAATATGGATCCAGTATGATGTGGTAGGGAGGGTGCTCTGGTGCCGAGTTGTGTCAGTCATGTGTGCCACCCACCTATCAACTTACTTGACTACAGCAAAGTCTTGCTTGACTACTGTATTGTAATTGTTGTTAACAAACAGTTTACTAACTTTACTTATCATGTTATTACTCAAATTACTCATTTTGACTCTAATATTTTTTGCTTTATCATGAAAATACCCCCCCCCCCCCTGCATACCCTCTGG